ACACGCATCACGATTACCCAACTTGCTGTATCACAGATTGCGATGACAGGCTCCAACTATGCCCTGAAAGCCATTCTCAAAACTTCCTGGCGGGGTGTGTCTGCCTATCGCGTTTGGTGCCTACACATTTTCTGTATGTACAATACATTTCAAAACAATCTTTTGTCCTGACTCTCATCAAAATCCCAGGAATACACACACATTATATAGTTATTACTAATTAAATACTCTTAATTTATGAGTAATAATATTCTGGAATCATTATTCGTATTCATGCATGGTAGAAGTGACGTTGTTGTCTCACGCTTGGGGAAGGAATCAGACCGCATTACAAGATAGTGTCCCTTGGTCAGTCAAAAACATACTCCCCCTGTCTTGTCTTCTTCCTAGATCAGGTTTCCGGTAGCAAATGGCCATTTGTAGCATTATAATATCTGCGGGGAAAATCGTATGGGGGCCGCATTTAGGGGCTTATTGTTTATATTTGAATTGAGATTAGTAAAAAATATATATATTATTAATGCAAAGAGTCGCATTTATTCAGTAAAATGCCGGGAATCAATGTTGAAGATCACCTGACTGCCACCATTTTTGGGGGGCGTGTTGAAGATCACCCGACTGCCACCATTTTTGGGGGGCGTGTTGAAGATCACATGACTGCCACCATTTTTTGGGGACGTGTTGAAGATCACCTGACTGCCACCATTTTTGGGGGGCGTCTTGTTTTCTTTCTATTCCGCCCCCGTAGTCCATTGGTAGCGTGCCCGACGTTCTTCGTCCATTTCAATAACATTAAAATCTCATCAAATGACAGATAATTTTCTTGTATAAAGTCATGGTAACATCTCGCGGTTTACCGAAATCCTGTTTATAATAAACAGCCGACCGAGGAAGGACGTTTTTAGGTCCTGTGAAAGTAGTCCCGGCTGGTCTGAACTGCCGCCTCATTTATCTCCTTCACTTACCGCATCAATCCGCGCCAGCTTGAGACGAGACTGCCGAGACCGCCGTGCAACAAGCTCCCCATTATTTCGCATCTGACCCAGTTAGTAGTTGAGTACCCGACTTACAGGCTGCTGACATCTACCATTAACCCAACTGGCTCAGGGGTTCTCGCGATTAACAACAAAAAAATAAATAAAAACAATTTTAAAAAAATTCATTGAGTAACTGTTCTGGGACTGCAAGGGAACATGAAGATGATTGGAATAATAAATGTAAGACTATTCTTAGATGATCCTTTCTCTATTACGAAATCAGTCACATACTTTTCAAAGTATTCCTTAAATTTTTTATCAATTAGAATTTTCTTGTATGCGATCGCTCTATAATTGTATCGCCTTTGAGTGATCTTTAGTTATGTTTTCATTATGGACAAATTTAGGAAATTATAAAGTGCTCCTTCTATTACATTACTAGCGAAATCGCTTTTTTTTTTTAATCAACCAAATACCAGTGTTGTGTTTTATATCTAGGAATAGGTTTATCTCCTAAATGCAGCTTTGTGAGTACACAATTTGAGTGGCATAACTCAATTGCACAACGGCATATAACAAGTATGTGTAGATGCTGAGATGGAGGAGCGGGTGGGGGGGGGACCTTCATTAAAATTTTTGGTAAAAAACAAAGTTCACCCCAGGACTTTATTAATCCCATACAACGACATAAGTAACAATGAGCCGTCCACCACGTCCCTATTTCCTCCAATGGCAAGCGCACATTTTTTGCCAGTTCTGATGTTTGGGGTATGGCATCAACAAATTTTCTATGTGAGAAGCTCCGGACGAAATGTTTATTAGTCGTCTGCAAGCGCATTCGTCGTCAAAAAAAAAAAAAAAAGTTCTCTGTGACTCCTCG